TCTGCAGTTCTCAAATGCCATCTGCTCAATCAGTCGGTGCTGCTGAGCCCTGAGCGAGGGGCTGGGCAGCAGGGTGGGGCTGTGGCTGAGCAGGGCTGGCACAGGGGGCTCAGCCCCTGTCCCCGAGCCCAGAGGGACCATGGGACTGGCTCTGTGACTGTGGGACCTGATTTCCATGGCTTTTGCTTTGTATTGCTCTGTCTGATTTCACCCAGTGTTTTAGCTTTTATCATGATAAAATGATCTTCAGTTTCCTCAGAGCAGCTGGCAACCTGAGCAACCTGGTCTGGTGGGGCAGTCCCTGGCCATGGCACGGATGAGATTTAAGGTCCCTGCCAACCCAAAGCACCCTGGGGTTTTGTGACAGTGGTTTTGTGAATTTTGGATTTGCTGCTCCTGGGCTGCGCCCATGCTGTGAGTGGGGCAGTCCCTGAGGGGTTTCAGTGCCGGGCTGTGACTGGCAGGGTGCTGATGTGGGTTCCCCACTCCCACCCTGGCTGCCCCATGGAGCTTCACCCCAGCCGTGGCACGACCCCTCCTGCCTGCAGGGACTGGATTTATGGCCGGGGAGGGGGCAGGAGCTCCAGCGTCCTCTCCCCGTGCTCAGGGATCATTATGTGCTGCTCTTTCAGCCAGCAGAATTTCATGTCTCACAAATTAAATTCCCGGGCAAAATAATTACATGGAAATGCTGCTGGGCTGTTATTCACAAGGGGCCAATTTTGTAGCCATTTGTTGGCATTTGAAAAGTCAAATTTCTTGCACTGTAACATATGCAACATATAATTCAAAAACAGAGCATGAAAGGCTGCAATCCAGCCAGCAGATGTAAATTTTGAAGAGAGCTGGACATCAGAGAAAGAATAAATTACCCAAGTTAAGCCAAATGAACACTTGATTTCAGCTGTACTTTGTGCCCCGCGTGTCACTGGGCTCCACCCTGACAAGTGTTTTTCTGGATGCTTTTCCAGCTGAAATCCTGTGCAGCCGGCTCAGGAGCTGGGGCTCCCTTCCCTGCCCTCCCCAGGCTGCAGCAGGATGCTCCCACCAGCCCCACGACCCACGGGGGACGGGTGCTGTGGGAGCCCCTGGTGAGGGTACCTGCCCGTGCTCCTGGTCTGGAGGAGTGTCCCGTGCTGGTGCCCCAGGGGATCTCAGAACACCCCAGGGTGCACCTGCTCCCACTTTTGCTGTGTGCAAACGCAGGTTGAAGAGCTGTGCCTGCCTTTGCACCCCAGCCTCCCTCCTGCTGCACCTCCCCGTGAAGCTGCTGTTGCAGGGACCCCACAGTCTCTTCTTTCCTCTTGTGGTGCTGCTGCAAAGCAGATCGACCCAAATCCACGTGTGCCTGGTATGCAGAGGACTAAGGAGCAGTAATTGCTCCCCAGCCCTACAGGAAGTAACTTCAGGAGGGGCTGAGGATTATCCAGCTGTATGTCCCTGGGAAGTTGTTATTGTGGGAAATTAATTGGCTCAGAACTATTAGAAATATAGAGGGAGAACTGAGGATTGCTAGGGCAGAGACAGAGCAATGTGTTTGTTAAAAAATAGTAAAGACTGAGTGAATGGTGTAATTTTAACTTAAAATTGATTCTGCCTCCTTTGGGACTTTATTGTTCTGAATAGAAAACCCTGCACTGAAGTTTCTAAGGCAAACAGCTTTATTCTCTTCTCCTCCTGAGCAAGGCATGTGTAGGGATGGGAGGTGACCCACCCTGCTGGCTCCCTCTGGGATGAGCAGGGTCTGCTCCCAGGCCCTCCCCAGCAGTGGCGGTGACACAGAGAAGTCAGGCAGACCCCCTTGTCCCCCCAGACTCGTGTCCACCTCCAGCTGGTTTCAGCTCTTTAACCTTGCAGAACATTTAGGGTCCCCATGGAATTCCCTCCATTGTATTTGTCCAATTCCCTTTACTCTTGTTTAACACGGAATCTGGCTGGGCTCTGGGCTGGACTCCAGCATTTGCTGTGGTGTTTGACAAAGAGCTCAGGTGTAACTGAGGGGGTCCAGCTGCCCTGGACCCTCGTTCCACCCTGCATGTTGGGAGTGATCCGCATCCAGAGCGGGACAGGGGAAGGAGGTGGAAGTGGGTTCCCTCCATGGTGTCCTGCTGGGAGCGGCTGGTCGGTGAATCCAGCTTGGTTTTATGCCTTGTGGAGGCAATTTCCATTTTCCTGCTTTAAACTTTGAGGAGAAGAACTTGGCCAAATGTAAAACGTGGCTGGATGGGGTGCTCAGGCCCCTGCTCTGGGAGCAGTTGTGCCAAGAAAATAACAGGCTTTGGGGTTGTTTGTTTCTGTAGATTTAAGCAGCACACTCAGGAGGGGCTTATCTCGGCAAGGGGGTAGATAGGGCCTGAAATGGATTTTCATGCTCAGAGCTTCCAAACACAAGCACTGTGCAGCTTTCTGTTTGTTTTGCAAATCCTTATCATCCCACAGTTATTGCTTGTGAAGTGGAGCAAAAAATGAAAGGCAGTGAGGGCTGGGTGGCAGGACTCTGCGTTTTCTCCCAGCTTAGCTGTTGTGCTCTGGAAGAACAGCCGTGTGCCTCCAGAAGCCTCCCAGCCAGGAATCTGCACTGAGCCACCCATGGGCAGGCTGAGTTTCCCGGGAGCTCGGAGTGCTGCACTTGTTTTTACAGACAGCTCCTTTCTTGGGGTCTTCAAAGTGATTCCATGTCTTGGTGTTTTATTAATGCAGTCACTGAGTTCTCATTGAATCCCAGAATGGCTGGAGCTGGAAGAGGCCCTAAAGCCCATCCAGTGCCACCCCTGGGTGGCAGGGACACCTTCCACTGTCCCAGGTTGCTCCGAGCCCCATGCAGTGCCTTGGCACTGCCAGGGATCCAGGGGCAGCCACAGCTGCTCTGGGCACCTGTGCCAGGGCCTCACCACCTTCACAGCCAAGAACTTCTTCCCCGTATCCCACCTATCCCCGCCTTTTTCTGCCTCAGTTTTTGATTTGCTTTGACTTGAAGGCAGAAGAGGAAGAAGCAGAATTCCGCTACTTCTGAAGTGTCACAGCAGAGCTCATCTGGGGAGGCAGAGTGTCGGGTGGAAGGAGCTGGGGCTGGTGTGTGAACAGGAATTTGCTGTCCCACAGCCCCTCTCTGCTGCTGCCAGGTTTTCGGGTGTGGGTGCAGGCTCCAAGCGCGCCCTGGCCCCGCGGGTGCAGAGCCGTGGGTGCAGGGGTGCTGCCTGGATGGCACAGCCCTGGCACAGTCCTGCATGCCAGCCTGCTGCCGGCTGCTCTGGGCCTCTGTGCTGCTGCTCCTGGCCCCCGAGCAGCTTCGGGCCGTGCCCCTTCCCTCCCTCTGCACCTCTACGGGCTCTGCAGAGCCCAGCCAGGGTGTGCCAGCCCCATCCCAGCTGGGCATCTACAGTTACAAAGATAAAATAAAAGTGGCACTAGGAGTACTCACATTCAAGGTGAATGTTTGATATTGTGTTTCCCAGAATGTGTATTTTGTTATTCCTTAGATGTCTTGAGTAGAAGTTTTTGTGGGTAATTGAATCATAACACATAATAACAGTACAATTTTACCAGCAGTTGAAGTTCTGCTGTAGCATCATTATTATCTGGAAATGTGCCTGAACATTTCCTTCCCATCCCACCCTGTTAGGTGGTTTGTGGCTGTTCGGAGTGGCCGTGGCCTTCCTTCAGCCTCAGCTGGTGCTCCTCTTCACAGCCACGAGGAGACACAGCACCACCAGAGCAGATTCTTCCAACGCTGCTTGTCAGGCAGATTAGGCCATGCACGTATGTACAGTGCATGGAAGTTGGAAAAGGATGCCTTTAGCAGGGGAGAGAGGAGGGTTTCTGCTCCCTCAGCTGACAAGGCTGCAGCCCTCATTAGAGAAAGAAGGAAGCCAAAGTTCCGATGCAATTCCAAAACTTTGATGTTTGGGAATGAGAGCACCAAACACCAGCGGAAAATCTGTCCCAGCTCTGCTGATTTGGAGGTGAAGCTGCTTGGTGTGTGTCTGCAGGAGGCTCTGGGGGGCAAGAGGAGCCTCTGGGCTGTGCCTGTGGGGCTGGGAGGACCTGGACCACTGTTTCTCAATGGAACAATTGCTTTGCAGGAGCAGAGGGGTTTCTGGTTTTTCCAACATTTGGAAATGGTTTCCTTTGTCTGACAAAGGCAAAAGGATATTCTGTTTACAGAGTGACACAAGGCATTCATGGAGTACGTGCACATTGGCTGGAAGTGGGTCATGGTGTGCTCGAGCTGTGTGAGGATTTTTGGTGGAGCTCCCCAAGCAGGGCTCGAGCTATACAAGGATTTTTGGTGGAGTTCCCCAAGCAGGGCTCGAGCTGTATGAGGATTTTTGGTGGAGTTCCCCAAGCAGGGCTCAAGCTGTACGAGGATTTTTGGTGGAGTTCCCCAAGCAGGGCTCAAGCTGTACAAGGATTTTTGGTGGAGCTCCCCAAGCAGGGCTCGAGCTGTACGAGGATTTTTGGTGGAGCTCCCCAAGCAGGGCTCGAGCTGTACGAGGATTTTTGGTGGAGTTCCCCAAGCAGGACTCAAGCTGTACAAGGATTTTTGGTGGAGCTCCCTGAGCAGGGCTGGAGCTGTGTGAGGATTGTTGGTGGAGTTCCCCGAGCAGGGCAGGAACTGTGCAGGGATTGTTGGAGCTGTGCAGGGATTTTTGGTGGAGCTCCCGAGCAGGGCTCGAGGTGTGTGAGGATTGTTGGTGGATCTCCCCGAGCAGGACTCAAGCTGTACGAGGATTTTTGGTGGAGCTCCCTGAGCAGGACTCAAGCTGTACAAGGATTTTTGGTGGAGCTCCCCGAGCAGGGCTCGAGGCGTGTGAGGATTGTTGGTGGAGCTCCCCGAGCAGGACTCAAGCTGTACGAGGATTTTTGGTGGAGCTCCCTGAGCAGGGCTGGAGCTGCCAGGGGCTCTGGGTGGGGAGTGAGGCTGAGCGAGGCGATGGCAGCGTGAGGCCGAGCGGGCAGGGAGCAGCAGCGTGTGGCAGGCAGGAGCTCGTGCTCAGAAGGATTTCTTTCAGACGTGGCAGAGATGAAAAGTGCACAGGGATGAAAGGCTGAGGAGAAGCGAGACTTCCCCAGCAGCAGCACTGTTCAAAGTGCCTCAGACAGAAAAGCATCTCCGCCTGCCCCTTCTTCCCCTCCTCTGCCAGCACCAGGCAGTAAATTACCCTGCTCATCCTCTTGCTGCTTATTGAGTGCTTGGGCAAGATGGAGTCAAATTATTTGCATGTTCAAAGAGAGAAGCTAAAACTAGACTGCAGCATATTTTATGGCTTTTATAAAATGTCGATGTATGTTGTTGGAGTAGATGGAAAGGCACCACCAGAGCTGGAGGGCAGAGCTCCTCTCTGGGAACCTGGTGCTGAATTAATGTGAGCAGAGTTAGGAAAAAGCAGGAATATGCAGTAAAGTTGGAAAAAATAAATGTTGTATATTTATATTTGGACTGTGTAGTAAGAAAGGCACCTGAAAAAATCTGATTCCAGTGCAGCCTTAAGGTTGTATATTTAGCATTTATAACTCAAATTTGGACAGTTGCTCATTAGAAACCAGGAAGACAGAGTCTCAGGAAAATGGGAAGGGCAGGAAAGGGAATGAAAACAAACAGTTCAAACAGTGTGGGGTTTGAGTATGTTTGTGGATTTTTAAGCTAAAGTTTTAAATGTGTTTTTCAAAGGACAGGGTCCTGCTGTGGGACTGACACCTTCTCGGTCTTGCTGTCAGCTGTAATGATTTCAGGTGTCCATCTGCTGCAGGGCTGTTTGTGCGTGCACCAGGCTGATCCTGCAGGAGCTCCTCTGCACTTCCAGCGCCTGGACCCGGGGTTTGTTCAAGCCAGGGTTAACAAATATCCCGATTTCCTCCGAGAGGAGTGCCCCAGGTGCCCTCCGGGCAGGATGTGTGGTGCCCTCCCTGCAGCAGGAGCAGTGACTCTGTCCCTGAGGGCAGCTCTGTGCTGGCACTGGGCTCCTGTGCTGCCCTGCCTCAGCTGCCGGGCTCCTGCTGCCAGGCTGGGGTCAGTGGGCACCCGGGTGAGGGCATTGAGGGCACTGAGGGCATGTGTCCTGTCCTGCTGCCAGGCTGGGGTCAGTGGGCACTGCTGAGCCTGGTGAGGGCATTGAGGGCACACTGTCCCTGTCCTGCTGCCAGGCTGGGGTCAGTGGGCACTGCTGAGCCTGGTGAGGGCACTGAGGATACGCTGTCCCTGTCCTGCTGACCACACTGGGATCTGTGGGCACCTGGGTGAGGGCACTGAGGGCACACTGTCCCTGTCCTCCTGCCGTGCTGGGCTGCCCCAGGGCCATGGCAGAGAGCTGGGCCAGCTCAAACTGAGAGCTCCTGCAAGAGCCAGCCTGGGAGCTGCTGCAGAGCTGGCACTGACCTGTGGTGCTCCTCCCTTGTCTGTGAGAGGTGCCAGGGCTCCCTCCACAACAACCTGCAGTGAGCTCAAGCTACACGTGGGAATTTGCCCCTGCTTTATGCACGGCTGGAGTTTCTGGCTGGGCTTGGGAATCAGGGTCCCGTCTCCACGCAGGGTTTGCCTGGTGCTGGCACTGAACACCCTGCCCTGGTGAACACCCTGCCCTGGTGGGTGAACACCCTGCCCCAGTGAACACCCTGCCCTGGTGAACGCCCTGCCATGGTGAACACCCTGCCCTGGTGGGTGAACACCCTGCCATGGTGAACACTCTGCCCCAGTGAACACCCTGCCATGGTGAATGCCCTGCCATGGTGAACACCCTGCCCCGGTGAACACCCTGCCCCGGTGAACACCCTGCCCTGGTGAACACCCTGCCATGGTGAACACCCTGCCCCGGTGAACACCCTGCCCTGGTGAACACCTGCCCTGGTGAACACCCTGCCATGGTGAACACCCTGCCCCGGTGAACACCCTGCCCCGGTGAACGCCCTGTCCTGGTGAACGCCCTGTCCTGGTGAACGCCCTGCCATGGTGAACACCCTGCCATGGTGAACACCTGCCCTGGTGAACACCCTGCCATGGTGAACACCCTGCCCCGGTGAACACCCTGCCATGGTGAACACCCTGCCCTGGTGAACGCCCTGCCATGGTGAACACCCTGCCATGGTGAACACCCTGCCATGGTGAACGCCCTGCCCTGGCTGCAGCCGGTGCCCCTGGTGATGTCCTCCTGGAGCTGCTGGGCACCCGGGGCACGGCTCTGTGCCCAGGCTGCTCCGTGCCACCGCCGGGCTGGGGTCTGCAGCACCGCTCTGCTCTGGGGACACAGCCAGGGCCAGCGGGGCCACCGGAGGGAGGCAGCAGCAGGGAAAGGGAGCCGAGAGATTTGGGATTGCTCAGCCTGGAGAAGAGAAGGCTCTGGACTGATCCGGCCGTGGGTGCAGGAAAGAGAGAGGCTCTTTCCAAGGGCTGGAGGGACAGGGCACAGGGAATGGCACTGCCAGGGGCAGGGCTGGATGGGACATTGGGAATTGGGAATTGTTCCCTGGTACTGGGAATTGGGAATTGTTCCCTGGAACAGGTGCCAGAGCAGCTGGGGCTGCCCTGGATCCCTGGCAGTGCCCATGGCCAGGCTGGGCACTGGGGCTGGAGCAGCTGGGACAGTGGAGGTGCCCCTGCCGTGGCAGGGGGGAAGAAAGGCCGAAAAATGAACCTCCAACCCAAAACAATCCAAGGGTCCGGGAACCCTGGGGCCTGGGGAACCCAAGCAACCCCAAAGTCCCCGGGCCCTTGGAACGGAACCCGAAACAAGTCCCAAAGAACCCCTCAAGGGCCTCCCTCCCCAACAAAACCCAAAAGAAGTTGGAACTAAAAAAAATTAAGAAAAAAAATCAAAAAGTAAAAAAATCTGAATTTCATCATACTTCCTCCATGGTGAAGACCATGAAGAATAAAATAATTTTATTTTCAGTTTTATTGTAAATGGTTTGAAATATCATACTGAGAAATAAACAGGATTTATAATTAATACAGCTATATATTAATATATTAAATATTGTTAATGACAATAGAAGTGTCATTATACACACACAGCTGCTTGGCTGTACATACGAGTGGGTTCTATGATTATGTGTGCCTATACATTTGTAACAGCTGCAGCTTGCTGGTTTCAGGGTAAAGAACTGGAATTTAAACGCTGGAGAGAATATGGAAATGCCTGGGAAACAGGAAGAGCTCAAAGTGCTTTTCAGGCTGAAAACAGTTGGGAGCTGTGGTGCTCCTCTTACCCGGGCACACACCAGAGCCACCCGGGCAGGAATTGTTAAGAGAAGCATCTCTTGTTTTGTTTCCAGTTGCAAACGAACAATCTGTCCATCTGCATATCGACATTCTCCGGCGCTGTAGCAGGAATGTGGCTGCTGCCAGGGGAGGCTGCTGTGAATTGCTGAGGATCTGCTGCACCAAATTGTGCAATTTTGCTGTTGTTTTAGTGAATAAATTCCAGGGAATGCAATCTGTAATTAGCTGCAATTTGGCACGCGGGAGCAGCGAGGAGACACTGACTGGATGTGAAGGACTCATCTGCAGAACTTCCAGAAGCTCGGCACGCACCGGGGGAGTCGCTGGCAGTGGTTCAGGGTGTTATTTGCCAGAAAGGTTCCTTGGGAAGGTAGAAATGAATTGGAAATGGGGGGATTCACAGGTAGGCAGTGTGGGAATGGCCTTGGGTTTGAATAGATTAAAAAATTTCCAAGCATATGTTGAACTGATGTCCACATGAGCAAGTCTCTAATTTGATCACCACATATCTAATAAACCCGGCAGCTCCTCCCTTCATAGGTGACATCTTCATTTTGTTGCTTCCCAGAGGTGCAACGTCTGTCCTGGCTTGGAGGCTTCTTCGTTTCAGGCGTGGGCAGTGGAGCCCAGCCCGGGGTGGGAGGATGCTGCAGGGACCAGGGGAGCAGCTGCAGGCACAGGCTGCAAGAGGGATGGGCACACCTGCAGGTGCAGGAACACAGACACAGCTTCCCTAAAGCTCTTCTGAGTGTGCCCCATCCCTACGAGCCAAAACACATGGATTGTTCCTGGGAAAGGCTTCCCTAAAGCTCTTCTGAGTGTGCCCCATCCCTATGAGCCAAAACACATGGATTGTTCCTGGGAAAGGCTTCCCTAAAGCTCTTCTGAATGTGCCCCATCCCTATGAGCTAAAACACACAGATTGTTCCTGGATAATGTAATTTAAATCTGCTTTTCAGAGAGCAGCACGTTCTGCGGGGCCTGCTCCTTGTCCCTGGCAGCTTCCCGAGCTGTGAGAGGCCTGGAGGTTGCGGCTGGGCAGGGACTGCACTGCTGGGGCTGCAGGGAAGGGGTTGCAGGGCTGGGGCTGCAGGGCTGGGGCTGCAGGGCAGGAGCTGCAGCGCTGGGCAGGGGCTGCACTGCTGGGTTCTGCAGGGCTGGGCAGGGGCTGCAGGGCTGGGCAGGGGCTGCAGCGCTGGGCAGGGGCTGCACTGCTGGGGCTGCAGGGCTGGGCAGGGGCTGCAGGGCTGGGCAGGGGCTGCACTGCTGGGGCTGCAGGGCTGGGCAGGGGCTGCAGGGCTGGGCAGGGGCTGCAGTGCTGCTGGGGGGGTTTTGGGGTGGGAGCCCACCCCTGGTGCTCGTCTCACGGAGGAACCTGCCCACCCCTGGTCCCTGCTGAGCCCGTCGTGCAGGAACCGGTGCGTGAATTATCCCCAGGATACAAAAGTTGTTTTCCTCCCAGCCCCTCCTGCCTCCATGACCCAGTTACCGGCTCAGCACATGCACGAAGCCACGGGAGAGAAAAACACGTTTCTATTTGAATGAGAAAAGTTGATTACTATTTTAAGCCCCTCATCACGTAAAAGCATTCCGAGCTCAAACACCCCACTCATCTCTAGCTGTGAGGTAACCACAAAGGCTTCTCCCTCCTCATCCTGCAGCTCAGAGCCCGGCAGCTGCAGGCAATTAAAATCCCTGTGCGTGTCTCTGGTGTACCTGCTGTAGTCGCTGTGTTCTCAGCCTCTGCCCAGCTCTGAAACAGCAACTTCTCTTCTTTGCAGGAGCCTCTATAGGTTGGTTTACCCCACTGGTGCAAGGTGAGTACTTTGGATGGATTAATTTAATTTATTCAATGCCAGCTGATCTCTGCCTTGCTTTGGGACAGAGGCAAGGAAAGCCCCAGTGCCAGTAAACAGAGCAGCTAAAATGCTGATTCTTTTCCCTGTCCTTTAGAAGGAAGCTGCAGCTTTTCCACTGAGTCCTTGCTGGGAAGGTTACAAATATGCTGGAGATACCAGTCCTTGGCTTCAGAGGATCAGGACCTGCACCTCTGGAATGCTTGGATGGGGCAGGTGTGGCACTGCTGTGGGGCCCAGGTGCTGCCCTGAGGTGTGTGGGCACTGCTGCCGCTCTCTGAGGATGGGCAGCAGCTCTCAGGCTGCCCTGAGGAGTCCAGAGAAGGAGCTGAGATGAGGGATGGGGTCCTTTGGGACAGAGGAACTCAACTTTTACAGCTCTAGGGAGAGCTCTTAGACCTGCCTCAGTTCCAGCCCTTCCCTGCTAGCTGCTCAAATCGAGGTCAGGCTTCAATTAAAGGTGAGCACAAAGTTTTCTCCCCTGGGACTTCAGCACGTGTGTGAAATATGAACAATGCTTCAATTCTTGATTAAAGGAGATCTCTTTTATATTCAAGTACTCCCAAATGGCAGGGCCTTTACTGAGCTGCACAGGGGCTCAGGCTGCAGGAAGAGCTTCAGAGCCAGGCTGAGCCTGCGCTCCGTGCTCACCTGAGCGTGCTGCTCACCGGGGCAGCAGCTCTGGGCACCCCCAGAGCCCCGTGATGCCAGCCCCGGCCCGGGGAGGCAGCTCAGACCCAGAAGGCAGGAGCAGGCACCAGAGCTTGGGGGATTCTCCCCGAGTGTGTGACGAGAGCCCCTCAGCACTGGCTGTGTCCCGTGGTCACTGGCTGGAGGCTGTGCCTGCCAGGGCAGGGAGGGCGAGCAGCCGTGCCCAGGCTCCAGAGCAGCTCGGGGTGGGACCTGTGGGGTGGGACCTGCTGGGGCAGGGCTGACCCTGGTGCTGTTTTCATGGCTGACCCCGGTGCTGACCCCAGTGCTGACCCCACAGCTGACCCCGCTGCTGACCCCGCTGCTGACCCCGCTGCTGACCCTTTGGGCTCTGCACTGGCAGCAGCCCAGCCCAGTCCTGGGCAGCCCCCGCTCTCGGGGGTGTCACTGCCGCAGGGTCTGGGCACCGGGTGACACCCGGTGACACTGGGTGACACTGGGTGACACTGGGTGGCACCGGGTGACACCGGGTGCTGTCTCAGGGATGGGCAGCAGCTGTGGGTCTCTTCAACAGAGCAGAGGGCAGGGCCCCTCAGCCCCACGGCGCTGCTCCCTTTGCCCTCCGACGCTCCCAGAGAAGCAAAGCAGTTTCCAGTTGCTCCTGCTTTCCCCCGGTGCTGCTGGGGATATTCCTGACGGAATGAACGAGTTCTGCCCACAGCCTCCGTGTGTGTTTGTCCTCCCCAGCAGATGCACATCTGCTCCGTGGGCACCGAGGCGTGTGGGGTGGAGCTGGGCAGCAGCGATGTCGCCGTGCCCGTCCCAGCAGAGAGGGACAGCAGGACCTGGCGCCTGGACGAGGTACACGGCAGTTTTGGTGTCTGACAGGAACGGCCTGGGAGCTGGGACACAGCCCACAGAATAGCCAGGGAATTAAAGGTTTTTGTTCCTTTTCCAGCGCTCCCACCCGTCAGTCAGGGTAAAACCTCTGCAGCCCCTCTCCTGCACCCCTGGGGCCACCAGCGTGTGACCCCAGCGTGTGACCCCAGCGTGTGCCACCAACGTGTGCCACCGTGTGCCACCAACGTGTGCCACCGTGTGCCACCAACGTGTGCCACCAACGTGTGCCACCAGCGTGTGCCACAGCGTGTGACAGCAGGAGCAGCCGGGCTGTGCTCGGTGCTCCCAATGTGCTTCCAGAGCCGTGCACAGATTCAGATCAGCCACGGCGATGGGCACAGGTGCACAGCACTAATTCTATATTGCAATTTCATTCAGATAAATTACTCCTGTGAGTTCCTAATAAAAGCACATGTTGGCTTGTGTCAGAATTAGTGAACAACTCTGATAACAGGAGCAGCTATTTTTAGTTTGGTGTTATCCTAGTTCAGCCTCCCATCAAGCTGTATTAAATGTGGAAGATACAAATTGGATCCATGCTGGGTGCTCATTTCCTTCAAAGCATTCCTGTGGCATCTCCCGTGCTTGGCAGGGTGGGTGGATGAGGGGGTGGCTGCCTGGGAGCAGGTGATTTGTCAGGGCTCAAGCAGCACTTGTGCTCGGTGCTGTGCCTGGTGTGGGAGCATTAATTAGCGAGCTGCAGCCCAGTAACGAGCACAGCACCCAGCGGAGCAGGGGAGGAGCGTCCCTGCAGGGACACCCCAAGGGCAGTGCCCGGGGGGACAGGGGGGACAGGGGGGGTGTTCCCTGAGTGCAGATCCCCCGGGACAGGCAGGATGCAGGGATGGATCCCCTGGCACAGGCAGGATGCAGGATGGAGCAGGGATGGATCCCCTGGCACAGGCAGGGTGCAGGATGGTGTAGGATGGATCCCCTGGCACAGGGATGGGGCAGGGATGGATCCCCTGGCACAGGGAGGATGCAGGATGGTGTAGGATGGATCCCCTGGCACAGGGATGGAGCAGGGATGGATCCCCTGGCACAGGCAGGGTGCAGGATGGTGTAGGATGGATCCCCTGGCACAGGGAGGATGCAAGGATGGGGCAGGGATGGATCCCCTGGCACAGGGATGGGGCAGGGATGGATCCCCTGGCACAGCAGGGTGCAGCAGGGATGCAGGCCAGGGCACAGCAGTGTCTGTGCCCTTCCCAGTGCCACAGGATGCCAGCATGGTTCGGGCTGGAGGGACCTTGGGGCCCATCTCCTTCACCCCTGCCTTGGCAGGGACACCCCCACTGTTCCAGGCTGCTCCAGGCTGTGCCAGGCTGCTCCAGCCCAGCCTGGGCACTGCCAGGGACGTGGGGAGCCGCCCCCTGGTCCTCCTGACGTGCAGCAGATATTTGGATTTATTCCCTGCGATCCCGAGCCTTTCCAGGGGCACTGCTTTGTGCTTGCTGGGGTTTGGGGTGCTGGGTGGGAGGCACAGCTTATCCAATGAAGTCCTGATCTGCTCCAGACCACAGCAGCTTTTTGGAGACTTCATTTAATAATCTCAATGGTTACCATTGGAATTATATAGCAGAAAGTTTCATTTTCTCCCAAAGCAACCTAAGTGAGGGGAAATGCAATGCAAACACAGAAAATCCCATTTCCCCCTTAGTTTAGAGCACAGAGAATGAGCTTTATAATGATTCTTGAGTTCAATTTTGCTCACTCCCTTTTCCAAAATTTTAGATTTTATTGACTAATAGTTGCTTTGACATTAAGGGTGCTGCTGCAAAAAACTCAATCTATTTCTACCAATTTTTCTTTGTGGAAAAATTATATTTCAATTCATTATTTGAAAGTGATTTGCAGAAAAAGTGCTATTAGGAAAATGAGGCTGATGGCACTTGAGGTGAGTTGAACACGCTGTTAAGCAAATCAGAAATTAGTGTAAGTTTCTTTCATTTGGCTTCATTTACTGTGGATTAAGTTTGATACCAATGATAAAAACCAGATCGAGCTTTTAAAAATATTGAGTAGTTTTTGTGCCATGGAACTGAAGTAGAGAAACAAAACTTTGGATATTTTATTTTTCTGATCTAAATTGGTATAATTTTAATAATTCTATTGTCTAATCAAGCCAAG